ACTTTGACACCACGAATGAAGCATCGGGTACCAATGAGTTTCGGGTTCGTCTCCTGCGCTGCGAGTGCGCATGGTGGAACTAATACGCCACTGGCCAGGGTTTCTTCACGCTTTTCTGGATGTCATTGTTTCTCTTCACATTACAGACTTATGTCAGTAGCGTCGAAGCTAACGGTTATGCTCTGTCGTTCGCCTTCGCGACAATGTTTTCACGCCACGCAGTTACGTTAGCACTGAGCGACTTGCTCCTGGTTTCCATCACGATTCTATGTGTTCCGTTTGCGAAGGCCATTAGCAAGGGTTGGATCAGCTACTATTGGACAGGCGCCATGATACAACACGTATTCCAGACATGTGTGCTGCTCATCACAGTCACGTGGACATTTCACAGGTACGTCACGGTGCCATGCTATCTCTCTCTGACCCGTATTTTGACTGCTAAACACCCCCAGGCAATGGCCTTGGGTCCAATCCGGCTTCCTCACCCTCCACTCATTTGTGCGCCCATCATTTAGTGCTTAAAGTACTTTACTAAGGGCGAGGAACAAAGGTCATGATCATGAAGATGTACTCTTACATTTCCGTGAACGGCTACCTCCAGTGGATTTCCAGGCAATCGATTGACGTTCTCGCAGAGCTCAATGGTGCTACAGCCCGTGTTGGAGGATTGGAGCAGGCGTTGCGTGATGCAACGTTGAAGAGGGCACAGGCGGCTTCACCATCAGTCGAAACTCCGCTTGCCGATGTCACATCAACGCCAGTGGAATTGTGCACCCCGGACGCAGAGGGATTATTGATGAAGTCGTACACGGACGTGAAGACGGCTGCTGCACTGCGGCAACGGCTTGCTGCTGTCTCCAGCAATTCAGATGAGAATACGGAATCTGAACGTGGCGCAGTTAATGGAAGCGGGCGCGGAAGCCATGGAAGTTGAAGTTGCATGTGTCCTTTCATACCACCCGGATGAGTTCGTCGCAGGTCTAGCAAAGGAATTCCTGGACTTGGACTCGGAGCTAGTGAGTACGGGCCCGGAACAAGTGCGTTGGCCCGACAACGTCACGTATCGGAATTTTGCGGTCTACCAACTGATCCCGACCTTGGTATACGAGCTCGAATACCCAAGAACTGACAGGTATGCTGCAATCCACTTCAATGTTGCAACGTGAACTGATAAGGAGTTGCAGAATACGGCCTACATACATTTTTGAAAAGACGGTTGCATTCATGGGTTCATTTGCGCTGCTGTATACGGTTGCAGAATGCTTCATCATACCGCTTACCCCTACGCCAGATCAATCGTTCTTCCGCTCCCTCCTTGACCTTGCATTGCCGTTCATGATTGCCTTTCTGCTTCTATTTTATATCATATTTGGTGAGTATTGAACCAGATCTAATAGGGTGGTCTTGAACTGACGAGCACTCAAGAATGCATATGTAATGCGTTCGCTGAGATTTCCTAGTAAGGTTGCTGTGCTTGTCACCTTCTGAAATGGCTGATGTGCTCTTTGTAGCTTTGCTGATCGCCTGTTCTATGAAGACTGGGTGAGACGTTTTGAGAACCTAACTGCATCGCGAGTGACTCAACGTTGTTTCATACAGTGGAACTCCACCTCTTGGGACGAATTCTCTCGCAAATGGAACAAACCGGTGCATACTTTTCTTCTTCGGCATGTGTATGCTTCGACACGCGCCTCGTACGGCCTATCGCGCACCACAGCGATGTTCTTCACATTCGTTCTGAGCGCCATGGCACATGAGTTGGTTATGGCAATTGTAACGAAGAAGATTCGGTGGGATGCTCTATTTTTATTTATCTTCAGTATGATACTGATCAGCGGGCGCGATGCAGCATGTACCTGTTCCTGATGCAACTCATCCAGATCCCATTGATTTTGGTGTCCAGAGCACCAGTGATCCAGCGCAACAAGCTCATGGGGAATGTGGTGTTTTGGGTGGGACTCTATGCCGGCTTCCCACTGCTTTGCGTTGCGTATGTTGCATATTAAGGATGTGGGGTAGGAGAAGGAGATGAGTCCATACACGATCAGCCCCATGAGGCCTCAGGTAACCGACCCGAAAATGATAAAGCTTCGCAAAATTTATATAATATCTATTAGAAATGTACTCTACCTGAGAAATCTTTATATACCTCCGGGACTGAGTTGGATGAGAACTGCCTGCAGGAAGCACAGTCATGGCAGCCTGGCTGTTTCGGACACAAGTTATGAGTAAGGTGTTAATCGATTACCAGCAACGTTAACTTGTCACTCATTTTTACAAATGGAATTAATGACGTTGAAGAGCTAGTATATACAGTATGAGCACGCCACAACATTGCCTATGGTGATAATGAACCAAGCGGGAACTTGACATGAAAATTTCACAGTTTACTTGAGCGTTCGCATCATAATCTGCACATGCTTATACTTGTCTGGTTGCATACAATCCAGTGGATTTTCGATCTGATCTTGCCAAATAAATCTGGGACAAACGTTATTGTCTCGCCAATTTCGTCACTCGTGATCTGGCAGAATCAGATAAGTAGGAAGAATGCTATCTGGAGTTATCATTTTCGTTACCCTGAGTTACCATACATGTAATTGACATAATATCGAGTATGCAGCGCTCTGAACTCTGATAACATTCAATAAGCTGCGCGGGGAGGGACTTTGAGTGAACGAGTCCAGGGTATATAGTCATACGAAAGGGTTGGCGTATGACCATACTTATTCTTCCTTTCGCAGTGTGGAAGTTACTGGAATAAGTAACAGATAGCCTTACTGATGGTTGCTCAGTGTACAGGTAAAAGTCTTGCCATCGATAGTGGCCGCGTCAGGCCCCACAGCGATCCATGATAACACAGGATCCGATGCGCTGCCGGAGATATGCGTAGTGACTGATCGTTGATATCGCGTGCCACGATGCAGCTACATACTAGGTACGTAGGAAATTGTTTTGAAACGTTAAGAGCAATCGATAACTGATTCAATTACAGTGCTCTCCAAGACGTGTTACTATGTCACAGTTGCCAAACGGTAATTTGCATATATAAGCGTAGTCGAAGCTTCGTCATCGTGGATCATGCATGCATGATGTTAAAGGCAATGGTATTACTCACATTCGTATAGTCACTGCGCTACTATTATGGGCGAAACCGTGACTCCCATTTCCACATGGGTGCAAGTGTGTCCTCTAAGCTGTGAGTGTTTCGCAGATTGGCAGAATGCGATTTGTGTTCAGTATGACGCTATACGAACGCAAGCACAGCATCTTGACATTAGTAATGGGAACTTTTTTCCATTCTCCCTTCTCCCACGTTAGTGGGAGTCGGGGACTTATGTGAAGGTGCAGCTTATCCAAGATCCAAGAAAAGAAACGTGTTATACACACCTGGCATACTGAAATAGTAAGTTCAACTAAATCTTCGCACTCTAACCAAGTGACCATACCAACATGTCGTTGCCAGTACTTATCAGATTCGTTTGAGTTCGCGGCATCACAGGTCAAAATTGCACTCACGACGTCGGTCAACCTACGATCGAAGGAACGGTTGCAGAGACTTGATACTTGGGTGTACAAGTGTCCAGTCTCCGCGACCGTTCGTCGGTGGGGCGCTACTGTCGGACTCCGATATCACGTACAGTACTTGTCACAGGTCACCGGCTCTCCCGGAAACACGAGCCCTTGTATCCCATGGCTGTGTGTTATACTTATAGGGATGCAACTGGGGTCTTGCGGTGTTCTTGCTGTGTCGTAAAATACTTCGGAACCCGAACAACTGTGCAGGGCCCAGACACTTTATGAAAAGAATAACCAGAGTCCAGAACGAACTGTGTCACTTTGACGGACCTATGGAACGCATTAGCCAATGAGAGGGAAGAGTTTCGCATGGAGAGTTCGCCCTCCGAGAAGGGGTGAGATCGAGTAGATAGACAGACGCTAGGGGCATTCCGCGATAGGTGATGCTGCCTTTATAATTACGAGACTCGTGGCAGATCGAGGTAACGATGTTGACACGCAAATGCTAACCTGTTCCGGCTGTAGATACAAGATACTTGTGGGTCCCTTGGGTGCCTCACGGCAAGGGCGGATTCCGACCGACACAAAAGCGGCTAAGTTTGAACGAAGAAACCGAGCCCTTCCCTGTTGTTACTCGGGTCGCAAACCGTGCCGGCTCGGGTATAAGAAGGGCTTTCAAGCTCGCGTGATTATAGCAGCATTTTGGATTATCGCCAGAAATTTAAGAAGACCCACAGAGTCGTGGAGACAATTGGTGAGTCTGAGACATCCGACGGTCTATTGTGACATCACTAACAGAGTGGCCACATACAGAACGCATTGTCAGCTGGTGTGTTGCAACGTGTAAAGCGAACCTTTAGCAGGCATTAAAAGGCAAGTCATCCCTCTGTCATTGGCCCTTCCATCTCTAACCATCCTTCAGTGCTATCATCCAAGTCTAAAGCATCAAGAGAATTCGCAATTATACTTCAGCATCACCCAGGTTCTCGACAATGCAGGTCAAGTCGATTAAAACGTTTGTTAAAGACGTCAAGAGGAGGCTATCCCAGAAACATAAGCGAAAGTCATCAGCCGCGACGACGTCGACAGCCACTACATCGAACTCCTCTGCCCCATCCACACCATCTGCTCACCACTCTCCTCTGTACGATGATCATCATTCACCGAACACAATCATTACACCATCCAACCCTCGCAGTAGGTCAAGTAGTGAAACATTGGGCTCTCGTCAGTCTTCGGATGTCATCGATATCAGCTCGAAGCACTCGAGAACGCCCTCAGAAGACATGATGTCTGCTGAAACGCATGGATCGGATGACAGCGGTACCTTCGTCACCGCCGACTGGGGTCTTGCTTCCCCACGTGTGCGTACTAAATCCCTCGGCCGAAATAGTTCGGTTGCATCAGCATCTATCGCAGGATCAACCACTTCTTCCCACCCTTCCCAAAGCTCCCTCTACGCTTCTGCTCAGTCCATGCATATGGATTCCGTCGATCGCCCCTCACAATTACTTCAGACTTTACCTGAGGATAGTGCGGAGGGTCCAGGTACACCACCACAAGTGTTGGAGCCTGAGGTACCGGACCCGTTCATAATTGAAGGCTCGGAGGGCGTCTTGTCCGAAGGCGAGGATGCCTCATCTGACGTTGAAGGTGTTTCACCCGAGGGTGAAAGTGTTCCCCCTGCAGATGAAGAGATTGCGCTCGCACAACCAGCGCCTTTTACGCCATCTGAAGTACCCCCCTTGATACTTTCCCCCAATGTCAACAAAGACGTACCCCCGCCTCCTGCGAGCGAAGCCGAGTCTGAGGCACCCGAATTGTATCTTCCTGGGCTCACCATGCCTACTATGTTCTTACCCATCCCAAACGTACGCCTCTCTTTATCTTACACTCTCACCTGGTGGTTCCACCGACACCCACCATTGATGTATGTCCCATGTACTATTAGACGGACCCTCTAAATATTCTCCTCACCAAATATGTATCCCCGCTTGAGAAGCGTCCTGTACGAGATGTCACTGGCGAATGGCAAGATTCTGATTTTCACTCCATGGTTGTGAGTATGAGTGTACACCTTGTGCTACCTCAAGATCTCAATGAGCGTGCCCTGGATATCAGATGTCAAACAGCTGGCGTGCGCTTGCTAGAATGGCGCGAGATCGTCTAGTAACTTGTAATCCTGAGGACCTCATTCGTGTTCTCGATGTAAGCACACAACGGTCATGCAAGCTGTGACTTCAAGTTAGCCTCTTTCAACAGCTCTGGTCTCTGCGCCTGTCAAGCCTTGCTCGTCTCCGCCTCTACAACCAAACGTCCGCTGAGTGCACCAACCTTTTCGCAGTGCTCAATGCCATAGAACCTCCGTCCGCCCGAGAATACCTATTCGACCGCGTCCTTCCCTTTGAGCTCGAGGTCATGCACGCACGCCTCAAATACTGGGCAGGCGACCCCATGGGCTATCTGGATATTCTTTACGCTTTGCTTAAGAAGTGTAAGCTTCAAGCTAAGAGTTCAAAAGCTGAGGGCGACGACTCCAGCTTGTCGATGTGGCTTGAGCGCGCTGCACGGATGTGCCTGATCATCGCGTCGCAAATGATCGAGATGAAGGCATGTCTGTCTGAAGTTCTATACCTCGATAAGCGAGCTAATACCATTGTGTGCAGGACTTTACTGCTGCAACGAAACTCTTGGAGCCACTGTTCGCACAACGTACTGGACAACAACCCTCCCCTGCCATCCGGTCTGCCGTGGGTCGCATTTACTTGCAGAGTGGTTACCTCGCACAGGCTGTGACCCACTTTACTGTCGTAGAGGGCGATGCTAGTGCCCCGCAGACACTCAAAGATATGAATGCTGCCTTGCTCGCGTGTGCTGAGGGAAACTGGACGCGGGCGGATGAACTGCTCCGAGCCCTCGTGCAGGCAGAGCCGGATAACTTTGTGGTGAGTACTTTACTCGGGTTGTTTGCTTACGATTGACGATTACACACTCAGGCGATCAATAATCTATCAGTGGCACTTCTGAGTCAGGGAAAGCTTAAGGAGGTGAATATTCTCTGTCTTCTATCGTGTTTTCGTATTCGACGGCTTTTCTAGAGTATCGAAGTCCTTGAGGCTGCACTGCATAGCTCCCCATCGGCCGTCGTGGTAGCAGAACCGTACCTCTTCAATCTTTGTGCGTGGATCATCGCGTTGTAGAAAATTTTGAATACTGAAGTTTTGACAGCGACGCTCTACGAGCTTCACTCAGCCACAGCTGCAGAGAAAAAACGTGACCTTTTGATCGAGGTGGCGAAGTGGAGTGGAGATGGACTGAAGACGACATGCTTGAAGATGCCGTCTACATGACAGGCTGTATCGTGACCTCTTGGGCTTGTACCGTATGAATGCAATGAACCGGTTTTGGTCCTGACTGTCTTCTCCCTACCATCCCAGTCTCCAGTCAAGAAACCTTTTGCACGGGTGCGCCCATGTCTGTAAGTACTTGGAGGTCAATGAGCACGAGAGCCCCATCACATGCCCTCACACACTGGGTAAGTGTGCACACGAAGTGCACGAACGAGGATAACAAGGGATGGGGCTATGTAACAGAAAGTAAGTCTGGCCACTTACTTTCGACACGTTTTCGGGGTCACGTTCCCTCTAGTACTGACAAGTTCCTAATGCACACTTCGTCGTAGAGGAACGCTCGTGCTATACGCATTGGATGAGGTATTCTGGGTGGCCTGCATCGACAGTGCGCTTGTTCTGTGGTGGCGACCTGGAGAGACTCAGGAAACTTCTACTGCTCCACCATTCAATAATCCATACCATGGCATCGTCCTCCGCTCCGCCGATGGTGTTAACTTTCATCATTTTAAGCTCATCCTGTCGCTAGTTTCACCCATGTTCGGTGACATGTTCACGTTACCGCAGAACGAATCAGAACTAGCTGTACCTGTCACCATGTGACTGAGCCCAGCACAATCCTCTACCCACTACTTCTGCTTTCTCACCCATCCGCCGGTGCCGACCCAATTTTCAACAGTATCGATGATGCGAGCGCGGTGTTGGAAGCAGCCAAGAAGTATGAGATGGACGCGATTATCTACCGCATAGGAGATCTCATCGCTGCTCAGTTCCTTCCAACACATTCACTCGGTGTCTATGCTGTGTCTTGTTTGGCTGGATTCCGGCATCATGCTCGAACAGCCGCTGCCCAGAGCCTTAAGATCAAGGGTCTAGGACGACCAAGCTCTGGGTTTGCTGGTATGGGGGCCATTAGTGCCTTCGATTACCATAGGCTCCTCAAATACCATTATGAATGTGGCATTGCTGCTCCAGCAGTTGGAAAGTCTCTTGAATGGCTGCCATCGACCCCATACATCGAGGGCATGCAGATGTGGAACTGCGTTACTTGCGGAAGAGGCGCGTTTAGCAGGCTTGCAATTCAAATCGCCAGTTGTAGAAAGTTGATGATTACCCCGTGGTTTGAAGAGTACCTAGTCAGGAGTAGAAAGGAGTTGGCCGCAAGGCCTTGTGAGCTGACCCCATCGCAAGTGTCGGCATCTTACAATCGTGCCATTGTCAAAGCACGCGACTGCTTGGCTTGCCAATTTGTGGCTCACCACGCATTGAATACATTCCGTACCTTCTACATCAAAGAAGTTAAAAAGGCCATTGCAAAGGCGAGTTCACTGAGCATGATCAATTTAAATCTCACCTGAACACCATAGGTGAATCTGGTTTCTCGACTTATCTTGTTGTTACTGTATGCTTGTGTGCTGTCAGACGAAAATAACATTTCTTAAAGCGGTTGTTTATTTCTGAAGCTTCTGCCAAACAACATCCTGGGATTATCTAAAAGAGCCTGAGTCATCATGTTCCCCGCGGAACCGCAGTAGTCACGGTCAACCTTTGACTCAAGTGATGTATGCATCCGTAGCTATTCTTGCTATCATTTGCATCCGCTAGTGCGGACTCCCAAATTTTGATGTTTATTGCTGACTCTGCAGCTCCTGCTCGCAAATTACGTCCTCCACTCCCAAGATCGATTGTAACAAGATGAGTATCTTCGATGTCCAGGACTCTGAGACAGAAACATCCCCCCTTCTGGACGAAGCCCCGCAGAAAAAACAAAAGACACCCCTTCCAAAATTGCAGATCGGCATTTTGATGCTTGTCCTGTTAGCGGAACCCATTGCCTCCATGTCAATATACCCTTACATCAACCAAGTATAATATCAAAAGTATCTTCAGGGGATCAAATTTGAACGTTAATCACAGCTGATTCGAGAACTGGATATCACTGGTGGTAACGATGCAGCGGTCGGTTATTACGCTGGAATTATAGTAGGTCATTTCATTTGAGCGAACACATACACTTATATGACTCCGGTGATACCAGGAGTCGCTTTTCTTTATCGCACAATCACTGACGGTATTGAAGTGGAGCCGTCTTTCTGATCGCATCGGACGTAAACTTGTCCTGATGATCGGTTTATTTGGAATGGGCCTCTCAATACTTTGCTTCGGTCTCTCGACCTCCTTCTGGACTCTTGTTGTCAGGTCAGTAGATTTCATTTGTGTACGTGCGCGGTTGAATATTTCCGTACAACGGATCAAATAGTCGTTCTATCTGTGGAATGCTGAATGGCAATAGCGGAGTCATGAGAAGTATGATGGGCGAACTCACGGATTCGACCAACATGGCGCAAGGATTTGCTCTCATACCTATCACATGGTGCTTTGGGAGCTTCTTCGGGTCAGTCATTCTCTGAAGAAAAACTCGTGCTGAGAGTATTGCAGCTTCGTTATGGGGGGAACTCTAGCCCGCCCTCAAGACCGTTGGCCAAATCTCTTTGCTGGACAGTTCTGGGCAAAATATCCATATTTCTTGCCCTGCGGTATTGCTGCATCAGTTGTTTTCGTGTCGTTCATGCTCGTATTTTTCCTGGAAGAGGCAAGTCAGACTCGAGATAGATATGCGAGTCACAAATATTGATCCTCATTCAGACATTAGCGACCAAGCGCAAGCGCAATATACCTAGCGACACCACGGGCGATCAACCTTTGGAAGAATACAGGAGTAATGACTCACCCTCGGAGAATATGGCCAACGTCCCTCTACGTTCGCTGCTCACTCGTAGCATCATAATTCCCCTCGCAAATCAAACCTTTCTCTCGTTTCTCGACATCAGTATGTTCGCTCTCATGCCCTTGTTTTATTCCACTCCCACCTACCTCGGCGGACTTGGATTCGCACCCCCAGCGATTGGGTCATGGTTGGCGTTATTCGGCGTCCTCGACGGTTTATTCCAGGGGCTGTTCTTCGCTAAGGTCGTTGACCGGCTAGGTCTCAAACGCACCTTTTACATCAGTACATCGTGTTTTATACCCATCATGATTATGTTTCCAGTCATGTCGTGGCTCGTCTTCTCCAGAGGCGTTGATTACATGGTCACGAACGTGCTACTGTGCCAGCTTCTCCTGATAGTGATGTGGGACATGTCTCTAGGTGAGAGTTCTGTTATCGCGTGCGTCTCTATCGTAGGCTCACTCACAACCAGCGAGTATATTCATGTTTGTCACCGCGTCAGCACCTACGAAAAATGTACTGGGCGCGGTCAATGGCATGGGTCAAATGACAGCATCAATCGCACACGCAATTGGTCCCATGTTCGCCACGTCTATTTTCGCGTACTCGAAGGATCACAATATTTTGAGTGGTCACGCGGTATATGTTGTTCTGTGCATACCTGCGGTTGGGATGTTGTGGTTAGCGTCTTATTTACCTGAGGAATTGCAGAATAGGGATGAGCATGAGTGAAATTCTGCCTTGCGAGTAATTCATAAAGTAGAGGAATGAATGGACTAGTATATGGCTTTGCTCTCAACAATCCTCGCATGTCATCCACGAATATACATAAATGATACAAGCCCTTGTCATTGATTACTTCTTCTTTCATCTCATTTCTACACGAATCTTTTTCTCGAAAACATGATGCACGTGGTGGTAGGGGGATATGTAAGGTGCGTGTGAGTAGGGTGGAGAGAGAGAGGGAAAGAGGGGCGCCCAAGAATGAGAAACAAGTCCCGGAAACACAAACAGGGTAATACGCAGTTGTATGTACGTGGTATCTGATTCGTATCGTAAGCAAGATGGATAAAACGAGCGCCCACGGTAATATGGTAGTATAGTGTAAGAAAGAATGAGTCCGTGCGTAATACGGTGTCTCGGGCACTTGTACACTGCTGACTTGCCCTCTCTTGCCGAATAAATGTGGGCGGGGGTGAAAACGAATTATGCTGCACTGTACAAGAACAGGTTGTTCGTCGCAGCAATCTAATTATAATATCAGCACGCAGACTGGAGTGCAGATATAAAGCAGGAAAAATCGGTAGTCCAAAAAAATAACGGCACAAAGCACGAACTATATGCAAAGCGTTATACTCACAGCAATCGTGTTCTCCCGTGGATGCCAGCTAGCATGCAAGATCTTCTTGTTAAAGTCAAGCGTATCCGTTTGCATTGCGTCCCGCAGTCCGCCGGGCCGCGGGCCGTTCTTAAGCCCGTTCTTTCCGGCGGGTACACCGATCTTCTTGGCCTTGAAAGCAGACTTGTCCGCTTGCAGCACAACATCATTCGACGAGTCGGTATCAAATATGCGGAAGAAGTTGTGGTACGAGCCCGTTAGCACATGCCTAGGTTACAAGTCACTTAGTAATGGTTTGGAAGATAGCAAGGGATCGATTAGAGAACATAGGATAAAGGTGGAGCAGAAGATAAAGAAAGGTACAGGGGCAAGGGGCACGATGGGAGCGAATACGCACTTATCATCTCCACTCCATACACACTCAAACTTATCAAAGATGCAGTCGTTCTCATACAGATCGCAAAGCTTGCCACGGAGGTGGTCGTGGATAGGAATAGTCTTCACAGGGCGTGACTCCATGTTAATGTCCCAGATCTTAAGGGAGAGATAGTCGCGCGACAAGATATACCGCCCGTCATGACTGAACTTGACATCAGATATAGAAGAGATGATCTCGGAGAAGAAGGATCGGGATGTTGGGTCCTCTTCTTCTTCGAAGCCTGCACGTGATTCGATGTAAGGGGAAAGGGTTTCAAGGTTCAAATGAGGCACGCACATTTTGCATGACGGTCGCATAGTGCGGAGTCGCGCATATCTGCGAGCTTGATATTACTTTTTGAGCTCGAATACATGAAAAGGTTGCATTGCTGAGGGTGGAATTCCGCTGCGGTGATCACTTCTGTGAGTTCTTCCATATTCACAGGTTTGATGTCCACGATGTCTATTAATCATGAGCGTCTTTTCCAGATCAGGGTGGTAGAGGAGACTCACTAAAACTCTGATCACTGATGCCGAGGTTCCAGAGGTTGATGCGTAGATCGTCTGCGGAGATGTAGGTTTCCTGATCGGAATTGACAGATATGGAATGGATGTGGTAGGCATGGGCATTGGCGTAGACTTTACGTGGGACTGCGGCGATGATGTTGTCCTGTGGCTGCATGCGAGGGAGCTTGAGATGGGAGACAAGACTTGGGGGTGGAAGGGCACGATGGCCATCGAGGTGGTTTGACTCTGAGACTACACGGATACTCTTCTCAAATATCTTCCAAAGCTTGATTGTCTTGTCTGTGTGTGGGATTAGTCAGGAGTGCTGGGAGGAAAGCGGTGGCGGACCGTTGGTGGAAAGCAAGAAGTGGGCCGTATTCTGTCGTCTACACCACTTGATCTTGTTGATCTTCTCCTCGATTTCAAGAGACTTTAGATAATCGAATTCGGGCTCGTGCGACTGGAACTCTGTATAAAACTTGTACTCGCAACCTCTTTTCTAATGATCGCGTGGCATAATCAGAGTTTTAATATGGGAACGATAGAGTTAGGATGATGCTCACAGACTCATTGCGCTCAAAGAGAACGACACGACCACCTTTGTCGCCTGTGGCGAGGTAATTTCCAGTTGCATCGAACTCGACGGTGGATATGATGTCGGCTGCGGTATCCCATCGATGCGGGTCAGTTGAACCAGAGAGTCGATCAGAGTGGGTGCACGGACCTTCTGTGATGTCGTCCACTTCACCCTTGTCACCGAAGCATTGTGCAAAGCGCCAGCTACCAGAGCCTGATGGGTCGATGTCCATGATTGTAGTATAACTAGAGGGGGTTCACTGGGATTGTTATAAGAGTAGTTTAGAATTGATTTTTGATCTAATTCTTGATTTGTACCGCAAGGTGAAAGATGGCTAGATTGAAGATTTGTACGAGTTTAAAGGTTCAGGGTAGCGTGCTCGTACAATGCTAAGTCAAGTGGATGAGATGAGCCCTTTTGTTGTGCTATTGTTTGGTCACATCACACTCCCGGCTTGCACCGTAACGTTCAACACTCAAAACAATCTTTAATCCAACAATGCCTATTGCACCAATCACTGGCAAGCTTAGAAAGAGACTCTGGCTCGACCTTTCGGTCGCCCTTGGTCTCGGCGTCTCATCTGCTTATGCTTACTGGTAAGTAGACTGTTTTTCGGCTTCTCAAATCATGCTCATATGTGAATAGGTATGGCGTACACCTCAAGTCTGGTACGTCTGGGTTGTGGTGGCTCCTTGTTCGTTAACACTGATCTGCTGTAGTACAAAAGCAGGAGGAGTTTTATTTCAAGCTGGAGCGAGCAAAAGTGCAGCAGTCGCAGTGATGAGCGCGCTTTAGTATACACCGAACCTTTGTCACCGCACAAATAGACTGTGTCCACCTGGATCTTTATGGGAGGAACGGCTGTCCATTGAACTACCTAGGGGAGACACTTTGCTTGCATATGGTTTGAATCTGTTGCTCTGGTGCATGATTGGGCGTATGCTATGCTTGACTTTTGGGGAATGCCAATTGCACCAATGTCTAGCCCTGCGGTGTCTGGCGCGGGTCTTTGTCTTTCCGCAAAATCGACATGTCCTGTGAGGGAAAACAGACCTGGCGAGCAATGCGCGTGTTCGCATTACTCGGACTAGACCAACATTGATTGCGTGAATATAGAAAGTATGCACCCACTGCCTCCCACAATGTACCGCCGCTCAAAGGGGATTGCTGATATGAATGAAGAAGCCAGCTGAAAATTGTATCAAAGATCTACGATGTACACAATGTTTGGCAACAATCGAAAGGTATCCTCCTGATAAAAATGACAGGCAGACGCATCTCTCGAGCCACGATACTACGTACGTATCTCGTTTTCGCCGTGTTGTTTAACGCCGTTGCCACAAGAGATAAATGTGCAAGACGTAGATAATCACGGCAGTTCATGCAAGATGACCCCGTCGTCGGGCTTTTCCAACAGAAACAGGCTGTTTCAAAAACCACGCGAAGACGAGGACATCATGCCATCAGGGGAAACACGCAAAAAAGTTTTGGAGGGTAATAAGCGCTGCCAGTGTTTGCATTTATTTGTTCTGCTGATATAATCGCCTATCAGTCCAGCATGTCGTAGTACCAAACTTAATTATTCGCAGTTACAGCGCGCAGGATGAGTGCTAGAAGCACCCACAAGGGGTTCGGCTCATCGCACGCCATCCCTCCTAATCCTACCTTTATTGACTTCCCAAGATCTGACGGTGACCCAAGCAACTGGCCCACAAACACTACCCCCCACATTGACAGCGAGGGTCATGTAAACTACATGCGACAGGCTGCCCTCGATGAATCTTTATCAATCAAATGGCGCGTCGAAGTCGGCGCAGCCCTTGCCTCGAAGCTCAACATGGCTCGTGAGCACTCACTTCTCATGTCCTGGGCTATCGATCATTTATTTATTTCTTTCTTTCAACAGAGGGCAGCTATGTTTTGCAAGGATGGCCTGCGGGTTATCAGATGTTCGATCACAACAAAGGCCCAAAAGATAGCCCTCGTCATGATGCCTATCTTATGGGTGAGTTGTGTCTCCATTAGCGCAATTAGTCAGTGTTTACTATCAAAATGCTAGGCTCCACCTATGCCAAACGCTTCCGCTCTGTCCCAGAATTCATTCCCCACGCTTTATGGCTGCTTACAGACCCCGCGCTTGACCGCAGTAACTGCAATTGCAAATATTGCAATAAAAAACCCCAACGTGAAATCACTGCTTCCATGGGCCTTCTTCCAAAGCGCGGTGGCTCCACGCCCTCTGCCGCAAACACACCCACACGGATAGTTCAACCCCCTAGATTGAAACGCCAGCCTCAGCAACCTAAGGAGAAGCCTGTTCGGGATCACGAGAAAATACCACGCGACAAAGAAAGGTTTAGACCGTACGTCGGTGTGCGTCGCATGCCGAAACCTGTTAAGCAGCCTGCACCAAAACAAAGCATGCTCAGGGAGCGTAACGCCGATTTGAGCTGTGCCTATGGTCCCGAAGTCAAAGTTCGTCGATGGTTCCGTGATGGTGAACTCCTTTGGTGCGCATTGAACACCCCGATCGATGGGCCCAGCGGCCCAGGCGGCGACGATTCCATCTTTTTCTGGCCAGGTCTCGTCGAAGAGACAAGAATGAAGCCCACACCTATCCCAAAGGATACAGATATGGATATCCTTGATGGACCATCAAACGACCATCCGCGCTCGAACGTTGGCTCATCCAATGGTGATGAAGAAGTCCCTTGGGTCATCCGGCACGACCTTTCTTACAAAATGAAACTCCTTGGTATCTCCCAATCATTGCATATTTCAGACCAACTTGTTCTTCCGTATCAATCAGTCGCCCCTTCAGACGAGCTTATCCAAGCTATTCATGCAGTATCTTATGAGGACCTCGACCCAGACCCCGCACGCACTTTTGCATTCAACCCTTATTCCACCTCTTCGGAAGTTACCTTTGCAAAGGCCGCAGCCCCGTACGGCATTGCGCTGCAGATCGGCGCGAATATTTCTGGATATTGGACACCCACGGACGACTGGGAGTTCAAATTCAGCATCGAATACCCCAATTCCGGTCCACCACAATCGGTCAGCACATTTCAAAGTCTCGATTCAGTGATGAACTTAAGTATGGCACATAATGCTAACCTCGCCTCGTCCCTGGCGACGCCCTCTGGCTCAGGCTCTCACACGTCTAGTATCTCTGCACCGCTACCCCCACTGGCACTGGCCCAGACAATCGTGCAGACACGCTACCAGGGCCTGTGGTGGGGTGCAGAGCGTATCTGGACAGATGAGCTTATTCGGCTCAAATTTTCGCGAGGCCAGATCGCTCCTGAAGGAAATGACCTTATCAATGCACCTGCTGGTCCAAGCAGGAAGGCGCAAGAGTATGCGCGGTCTATGGGCGGCCAGGTCGGCGGTGCTGAGGGGCGGGGCGTGTTCATGCGCCTCGAAGGATTGTTCGTTGCCGATCCGCCCAGCGGGAGAGGATCCAAAGTCTGCCATGCAGTAGGGACGCTTTATGAACTCGTGGATGAAGACTGGGAGGAAGAATGGGACGGTCGGGAGATGGTAGTTGACAAAGGAAAGGGTAAGGCGATCGAAAATGGTAATTCAAACATGGATGGGTCGTTTGAGCTGGATGGTGTACCATCTGGACTTTCGTTTATGCATGGTCCATCCCCACTGAAACCACCCCCACTCGCAAACCCAGACCCAGTGGTTTCCGTTGAAGACACGACGACAGATGTTCTTTCGCATAGCAACATAGCTGGCGCTTCCGCTTCCGCATCTGCCGCATCACAACGTGACGCGAACAGCGCGCTCTCGCATCCAGTTCTCAGTGCCTTTCCACTGCCGAAGGCCCCCGACGGATTCAAATTCCGCCCCATCCTGAAGCCGGGCCATGAGATTGTTGTAGATCTGACGTGGATCGCGGGGCGGTATTACCCAGGCCTTCTCGAGCACCGGTTGCTTGACAGACACGTCGAACGCGCGCTTGCTGCTGGTGGGACGCAGTTATGGGCTCTCGAGGGCCTGACGGCTGGGTGCTATAATGCGATGGACCCGACGAAGTGGAAGCCCACTCGCACGGCGATGGTGCGGGAGGCAAGTCATGATGCGCGGGTGGGGCTTGAAGAACACTGGAAGAACAAGGAGAAAGAGCGTCAGGAGGCGAAGCTGCTGGAGGGGGCATTTTTACCACCGCTGCCGCCACCGGGAGTGGACAGTGGCGAAGAGGGATCTGGGCTGGGTAAAAGTTCTGGCGGTGCTGCGCCAGGATCAAACGGTAACGGGCAAGGTTTTGTGAACGGGAAAGAGGAGAGAATGGAATTGAGAGTAACGGAGGATGGGATGCTGGAGGAGGTTGCAATGGTGGTTGATTAGTGCGTTGGCGGCCGTTTTCCATATTTGTGTCCCTTGCATACCATCTAAGTACCCAGCTAATGTCTTGTTTTCACTGTGCTATCATGGAATGTATTATGCGTGAAGAGTCCGACGTTACCCGCCTAGTACTGTCGAGTAGACCACAGAGCAGTGACCAGCGAAGCCTATATCATCTCCCTATACGCCTTAAGCTGGCGCATACGTCCTCGCTTTGCCTGGACCAATAACAAAGACTCCCCGCTACTCAGGTAAATTATTACATTTTTAAGGACCAACTTGGCGCATGTTGTTACGGCGATAATCTTTTACATAGACATGATACATGGAGTTTTTCCTAATCGTGCGGTTGCAGACTCTTTCCCATTGAAGGAGAGTAGAAACACTTAGGGCAGTACAAGCGACAGATTGTCGGAACGGATTGCAGCATTAGAATCATGTACCAGTACCAATACGAGTATACATTTGAGTTGGAGCAGAAAATGGGGTCATTACAAAGTGTTGTCAAATGGCAGAATCCGATCCATGAAGACTGAGCGAACACATCTGACAGTCTGATTTTTATGTAGCCATGAAAGGGCCAATCTAACAATCAAGATTCATCGGTGCAATGGAATTACAGGCATGAAAATTGCGCACCACTGCGACATGGGTGTATAAACCTTACACCATAATACCTCAAAGACATAGGATTATTGGTCGTATGTGAATCGAGCAGGTGGAACCTGGAGTATCGTAATGAGGTGTTTCGATTCATATATATCTAAGTCAGATAAGACATTCCTCATCTCCTCCTCGTCATCATTGAACTTTGTCTGTGCATAGGCTACAGCAGCAAGAATAATTTAGCTGATGATTGGGCGGCATTCTCGTCGCATCTGCAGTGAGAGAAGTGACATTGATGAGCAAAGTCCTAGGTCCATTAATAGGGTACTCACTGATACATGACAATGCTTCTTGATAAGCTTTGGGCAATCTTGACGCAGGATACCAGTGGATTCATTGGCTGCTGTTGCAAATTTGTCATCGAGCTTGAGCAGATAATAATCATGGAGGCGCAAGGCGGTTGAGTGTGACGCTAGGGAATGGCACGAATCTGCCCACAAGGACTTCCGAGTCACTAAACACAAATGGGATAATTTGGATGCATACCTCGTCGCCAGACGTGCAGTCCTTCATGAGATCGAAAGTAGCGTGTTTGCTCTCGCAAAATGGAAGGATTTTTGAATAGACGGAGGCGGAAAATATAAAGATCCAAGTGGCAGAGCTCATAGTTTCTAATTTGTTGATACCCTTTGCTGTCTCAGTTCCTTCATAACGTTCGATGGCGTCCACCTGATCATCAAGTTCTGCCACAATTGAAAAGTGACAAGCGGTATTGTCAGGAGCAAAGGGAAAGGGACGACCTCTGTGGCTGGGTGTCGGAACTAGTTGAAGTATGTTTCTGCGAAACAGAGTCGATCGACGACGACGACGATTGCAACAATGATTGCTCACCCCTATTATTCAGCGCCCAGCTCTGGCCTGGACAACTCATGAGCCACGCCAGGCGGGTAATTCATCAATACTTGGCGCTGTGGGGACCTAGGACAATAATTACTGTTGAATGTGAATCCGAGCGTGACCAGAATGAGCCCGAGTGCAAGGTTGCTATATAGGCTATTTCGTTATTGGTAACTACAAATATGAAGGATTGTTTACAAATATCGCTCTGCGACAGACTACGATCACATAATTACGGTACTGGCTGCACACTATTAACGAAAATTCAAGAGGCCAATAACGGCAGAGACAAGTGGCATCGGTGACCGTGTAGTCAAGGGCGAGGCTTTGTTCTTGAATTATTCGCTAGCCTTAGCTACACCTGGCTGGGCGGGTCCTCCAACCGGGGCCCATCAACTAACAGCCAGTAGCTGCAATTCACATCAGCACTAGTCTATATATCTGTTTGCATTAGAGATGGCTACCCTTCTTTCACCAGCCTTGTCCATGTCCACCTCCGACTCTACCCCGTTCTCTCAGTACCATTCTCTTCGCCCGTCTCCAACACCATCATCAAGTTCTTCTTCATCCAGTGGCTCTCTGAATCATGCAGATGAAGGTGCGTCATTCCGTTCCCCAGTCTGCTGCCTCGAGGCAGATGTTTACGGCAGAACAGAAAATCTCACCATCACCGCGTCGCGTTCGTTGCTCGCGAGAAGCAAGGGGAAGGGAAAGAGCCACGAGTGAGTTCTCTTTCAATCTATTTCATTTTGGCTCGTGATATAACACGCGCGTGGCAGAGACATCCGCCTCCTCGCCATTTCTACACACATCACCGAAGTCTCGTATAGTATATCGGACATTCAGACGCGTATATTTGGTACGCGACTTCTTAGCCTCATCCGTTTCTTACCCACACAATCCCCAGAAATACAGGAACTACGACATAAGTCTCAATCTTCAAGTGATGCAGCTGCCACTACTGTCGTCATCGACAAGGCTCTTATGACTCTCGACGAACGCCTTGAGGCCGTCGCCCATGGTATGAAATCCGTGTCTGAATCTGTTGCGCCCTTTCAGAACCAGCCCGATGGTACCCCCGACTCCGAACAAGCTGTACTGGTCCGCAAGCATGCAGTACTCGTCATCGAGTGGGAAGCCGTGCAGAATGACACAGATGTTCTCAGGGAGGAGCTGAAAGAGGATAAATGGCTCACTGTATTCAGAACCGTCACAGAACAGGCAGACGGAATGATGGGAAGCCTGGAGAAGGCAGTCAATCGTTGTCAGGTGTGTTCTTGTGTTCTAAATATCTGTATCATCTTCACAAACACCGCGCAGGATTTTATTTGGCAGGTACATCGGGGAGGTGCAGAAGATTCACTCTCGCAGTCCTCATACAGGGGCTCAGTTAGTTCAGACAAGAATCCCATGAGCATCGAGGTATTCAACGAGTTGCTCAGCTCGTTCGAAGCAAAGAAAAAGTGGATTTTCTCCTTCTGCATTCTACTTCGTCACTCACACTTCTTCTAGGCATTATGTCCCAGCCACGTCCAAGGTACTTGCAATCATCGACAATGGCGTGCAGAATCGTGTCACAAAGAACGGGGAGACACTCCGACGACACGGAGAATCTGCTAAGAGGTGGCGGATCCTCAAGGAGCGAATGGCCAAGACGGAGAAAGAGATGGAAGTCGTCCGAAAGATCCTCACGGGTGGTGATGTAACTCGAAGCGAAACAAGTTCCACAGCAAATGGGTATCTTGCAACGCCCGCGAATTGCTCTTCGAAAGGTCGTGCACCGAGCCGAGCAACAAGTTCTACGAGCACTCTTTCGCGGAGCATATCACCACTGAGGAAATTTGCAAGGAAGATCGCCGGTCATGTACGGTCGCCTCCGGTCCCCGTCACTCCCTTGCCTGTATCACGAGAATTGTCTTCGGTGTCAAGAGACTCTTCACAATCACAGGGTCCGTCATCGGAGCCAGTTAAGGCGCTACGACGACAACGCACCTCTATATTCGCATTCAATCGGTCTACTAGTGGTGCCCCACTTACACCAGAGAAGGGACACAAATATAGCCACAGCCTCACCCCCGAATCCTCCCCCGCCTCCAAACGCATTGACCGTATCGACGACCCAAATTCAACCTTGAAACTGAAAATGTCTAAACAACCTTGGAACAGCTCAACAAAGGTAGAGGGACCGGATCTTGCGGCGACCATCAAGCCCACTCCTCCAAGCGGCCAAACGCAAAGTCTGTCCTCACCCCAGAATATGCCCCTCTCGTGCCGAGCACGCCTTCACGAAGGAGCCTCAGCCGCAGTTCAAATGCGTCTTCACGGCCTTGGTCTCCTGTAACTTCATCTGCATCCACAAACCCTTCTATACCTCCTCTTCCACCTCTACGTCCACCATCACGAGCTCAAACGCCCAGCCTTGGGACGACACCACGCCCACGGCCCAAGACCCCGAGTCAAATTCCAGCCCCTGCGTTACACTGGCGCCCCGTATCTATGCGGCAGCCTGATACTGACGACGAAGAAGAGCTCACAACTCTTATGCAGCGTGCATTTTCCCCTCCGCATACCAATACATCTTCCAGCACTTTCCGTTCACATACCCAGAGCGGCGTACGCATACCCCCACCACGCCCTCCAAGCCGGTCACAGATACCCCTTCCCAGCGTGCACGTCTCCTCCGAGTCGCGTCCCTCATCAACGATGTCCTTCTACCGCCCCCAAAGCCCGCTCACCCCAGGATCTCTCCTCAGGGCACAGACGCCCGATTCGCAATTGAAAGCAAAAGCTCAACAGGTCCCGTTTTACGGGGGCGCAGGAAACAGCGGGATACGTGCATCTGCACGGCAGACTGTCGCGGGGAAGCTCCCTCCTTCGTCGTTCCGCGATTCGTCGACGACTCGGACGCCCAACTCGCGTCCGGGGTCGCGGTCAGGGTCGTACACACCCATGGAGCGCGACCCGTTGCACTCGTATGTCCCCGCAAGTGACAAGGACCCACTTGACATGGAGGTGGCGGCGATCGTGAATGCGATTCCGCACGGGCTGCTGGTTGAGCGTGTAGATCCCCCGCTCAAGGTGCCGCCGGAGGAGGGAGAGGAGATCAGGGCGTCGTATGCGTTTTCGAATAGTTTGAGCCGGAAAGTGGTAACTTGCAAGCTGACGACGCTGACGCGCTCTGGGGCAAGGGGGGGCGGGATGTCGAAGAAGGTTGTGTGTCGGGTTGGAGGAGGCGAGTGCCAGTTCTGTTCTTCTATCAGTTCAAAGTGTTGACATGGATTTTTGCAGGCTGGCAAGATTTGCAGCTCTACATGCTCAACCGTCAGGCAGGCATGTAGACTGGAACAAAGAACGGATACCCATGCATCAGACCTGAATTATTTTTGCACTTTGCACTTTACACTTTTTCATATTTCATCAATCACGATTCAGAACGGTCGCACGTAAATCACTAGTCGCGGAACAAGTTTACTGTATTGCATCATGATTATATCCTCATGTTCATTATGTCCGCAAACGTTTTGTGCAGTTTTCTATTTCTTGTTATCTTGACCAGGGTTTAGTTACAGCTTGCTATTGAATTGCTATGATGTTTAGCTTGCGAGTGGTGATTTGACGCGTACATGTCAACTCATCGATATTCATTCATCGAATATAAAAATGTTACAACGCATATATTAGGCTGAATGAGAAACCTCTAGCGCTCATCTAATACATACTCGCATATCAACCCATTCTAATACCCCGCCCAGCTCTTCACCTTCGAGAACCAAAACGACCGTTCGTTCTTCAGCGGCAGTGGTACTGCCTCCCCATCCTCCACATTGACTGAGTCATACCCAATAAAATCGAGCTTGTTCCACCGCCCGAGGGGACGTGAACGCAACGCGAGCGTCATCTGGAAGAAATACTTGTTCGGCTGCGGCTCTGTAGTGACGTGCGCATGTGAAAGGTGCTTCTCGTCAAGGTTCGTGATGTAGACAGTGCTACCGGACAGGGACCAGTTGCCGATGTAGAAACCCTGAAATGGATGTGGTTGAACTTAGGGTTGAGGTAAGCTGGGTGTGCGCGTACCTTCATGCGCAGGTTCGGCTTGAGCATTGGAATGACGGCCTGGGGCTGCCATTCCTCGTTAGCGAGGAGGGATAGCACCTGTCCGTTGGGGAAGAATCGGCTATAATAGTGTCAACAAGTGTAAGAGATGGCTCAGGCATGAGACTTACAGGTATCGATGATACGTGATGAGATGAGTTACCTACAAGGGAGTGATAAACTCAGCACGTCGAAAATGTCGGAGGGTTCTCTACGTACGTTTACCCAAGCGTTTTCGCTAGAGCCCATCCGCCTGTGATTTTTGTAAGAAAGCGGAGATAATACATCTCCGAAAACATGACTTACATGTAATGGCAAACAGCAATGTAAACACCATCCAACCGCAAGCGGGGATGTTCGATATAAGCTCTCCGGTAGTCTGAACTGTACAGTTCCACAATATTCGTTATAGACTCATCATCAGCAATCTGGGGAGGCTTATATGCCAAGTGGACAAAATCTCTGTTGCAAATATTTATAACGCAAAGTACGTGCAGGAGACAAGCACCATACCTCCAAATCGCAGAATCCAAACTGAGCACTCGTGCTTTACGACTGACAGCCGCAAACCGCTCAATCGTGGTGTAGTCAAGAATTCGGAGGATTTGGAGTAGAAGCTCATCAGGGATGAGATTGATGGGAGGTAGTCCCTCCTTCTCATCCTCTGGCTCAAAGACAAGATTCTCAGGAAAGTTCTTGAGCACTTGTGCTAGAAACCCTGACGTCACAAAGGATCTATTCTTGCTATCCTGGTGCACTTCGAGCTTCTGCACATCCCGTGTAACTCCATCTACAGACACAGTGGACGGAACCTTCCTGTAACTGGCTGGCTGTGTGGCAGAACGTTCCTGTGTACGCTGTTCTTCTATGAAGTACGCACGATCGACGTTCGCATCGAGACGAAATGCCTGACGATAGAGTCGGAGAGCCTCGTCTAGTTGGCTGTGCTGCTCGTGAAAAACTGCTTTGCGATAGACCTCGACGGCATGAGCCAGATTGGGACTGAGATGAGATTGGCCGTGAGATGCGTGCGTTACGACGGTAGGCGCACCTGCGACGACATGGGTTGCAGGCCCCCGAGATGCTGAGAGTGTGTTAGTGATAGTAGCAGGTTTCGAGCTGGCGTCACTCCGAGCTGGGGAAATGGCACGTTCTGCAGCAATGCTGGCACCGGGAACGGGTTGAGTTTGCGCGCCCGACGTAGTGGCAGCCTGCCTTTCCCTGACCTCGGCCTTCCATTGCTCTCTGAAACGTGCAAGTTCTGCGGGCTCCTGGTCTGGTGCTAGGATATCTGACGTCCCTGCGCTCATTCCACACCTGAAAGTTGATACTCAGCTAGACAAGAGTCAGAATGTAATTCGGAAGTGCTTGCGAGTTCTTACTTTTACTGATACTAATTTGAGTGACCAGAACTTCGGAAGCAAACTACCCTGAGATGGTTTTGGTGGTTCGGCCGTTCAATATTGCGAGCATACAGAGAAAGTGGAGACCACATTATTGGTATAAATAAAGCATAGGGTGACCGAGTTGGCGGGGGAACGATGGATAATCGAAAAGTAATTAAGCCAACAGTGTGCATAAGTCCAAGGGTGATCCAAGGCATTAAACCGGCCTTCACGACTTTATGACGCCCAGACGCTTCAGCTCTTCACAGCTATCTATTTTCTCCGTCTCGATTGCCTTCACCTTCTCCCAATCCGTGCCAACACCGAATAAACCAACTTCTGCATCTCTCCTCCGTTGCCGCCTATCAACTGCACGCTGACAATCGCCGTAAAGAGTATTGGTGTAAACTTGTTCCACTTGCCCTTCAAATTTTGACAGAGCCGATCCGCGACGATAGGCACCCCCAGCAATGTCAGCTGCAATCTGCCGATGGTTCTTGAACTCGTGTTCATTAACATGGTATTTTATGCCAAGTCCACTCGTTTGCCGTTCAGTATCGAAACGTGTTGATGGTGAAAAGGAATACCGCGGGTCGGGTATCGACGTAGAGAACATGTCCGGAATTGCACTGAGGAATGAGAACGCGATAAGCAATATGAGGGGCAGGAGCTGCATAAGCAGCGAGCGACCCTGCGCCCCTTCACCCTGCTGCTGTGCTTGTGCACCCCCCATATTTGTACGCATACGTGTCGTCCGGAAGCCTCCTTGGCCAAACGATGCAGTGAATACTGGACCGCCGCCGAAAGGACCGCCTCCAAATCCACCGTTCATCGCCATACCACCCCCTCCGAAGAACATGTTGAAAAGATCCTCTGGACTCATCTCGCCTTCGCCACCGAATGGGCTTGCAGAGAAGCCTGGCCCGCGCGAGGACATGCCACCAGAACGCGATTCTGGATCCGACCCAGATTGGTCGTAAATTGTTCGCTTCTGGGAGTCTGAGTGAATGTCAGAACCGTCCGGTTCATGAAATAAGTCAAGCACACCTGAAAGCACTTGGAAGGCTTTAGAGACCACTACAATGAGTTCGTGTCAGACACTGCGCATACGTGATGACAATACTAGACGCACTCTTGAATGCTTCATCTGCTCCAGGAGCACCGTTCTTGTCGGGATGTAGCGCAAGGGCAAGCTATTATTGTATCACAGTATTAGAACGTATATCGGTCAGCACACGAGATCATGTATGCCAATGTACCTTTCTGTATGCCTTCTTTATTTCAACCTCCTCGCAATCCTTCTTGACGGACAAGATCTCGTAGTACTCCGTAGCCTTGCAAGCTTTCACCCGTTTCACAACCTTCAACTGCTCAGCAGTGAATTCCCGTTTCTCCCCTCCCATCCCTCCAGCGGTGCCATTCGCACTGCCCGTACTGCGATGCTTGGCACCAGAAGCGGATGGGTGTGTCTCTGTAGACGACGAGGAAGCTTGCGCATTGCCATTTGACGTCGAAGGGCCTGGTCCGGCTGACGAGGAAGACGATCCAGATGCCTCCGTGGCCTCGATAGACTCAAGAAGCTTTGCAGCCTCAGGCGTGGAGAACAAGTTTATAGATTTTTGGCAAAATTTACGGGCTGAAGGGAGGTTGCCAGCATCCTTGTATTTTTGTGCGATTGAAAGACACTTGATGGCCTCGTCTTTGTTACCTTCCATCGCTTGAAAGCAAACCAAAGTACAGTGAGCTGGCGACTTGGGTACTTGGAGGGCTTCTCGGTGAGAGTGAACGTGTCCTTATTCGGCAAGTGCCTTTCGGATTCATTAATATTGCAGTGCCTGGAACCACGAAAAGTATCAAGTCACTTGTTTCATGTCTATCATTCGTGGTGCTGTGATAGTCGTCCATTGATGCTTTCATAGTCGCAGGCTAATACACTGTTGTTCATCCGCGTTGCCCACCCCCACATACATCGTAATCCCCTGTGATTGGAACCATCCGCACGCTCGGTATCACAGCGGGAGCTCACCAATTCAACAGCGATTGCTTCTCGGTCTTTGTCTGCTGGACAAGGGCGTATGAACAGCCTCAATGTAACCGTTCGGCTCTCAGCATCCACTACTAGTACCAGCACTATTCCTCCGACTACCACCATCATCGTCTCTGAACCAATGGTGCACTCACCGGCACCGGAAACCACAGAGGAACGCATCCGCAAGGAACTCGAACAGGACAGGAAAAATGCTGAGTGCGAGTTTTCTCGTTATGAAGATGCAGGTCTACTACTCGAAACGGCTGAGCGCACAACAGATATAGTTCGTTTCTGGGAGGCACTACTGCCATACAATTCCTTCATTAATTAGAAATTGTCATGTAGCAAAAAGAGCACACATTCCGGCTTCTATTTCGCGTCGCTATGGATATCCTACCTGCTCAAGCTTCATCTGTGCCTTCCGAGCGTATATTGTCATCCAGCAAAGAGACCTGCACTCTACAGCGCAGTAACCTGTCTCCGACCACACTTGAAGCACTACAAGTTCTGAAGTTCATCTACAAGCAAGACCGCCTCGATTTTACAGCGGACAGGCAAGACTACATAATATGTGGACCTGTAATCCCAAGAGCAGTTGACGAGCTGATGGTTACTGGGAATCTTCGAGAGCTCGATCAGTTGCTCGCGAATGCAAGGGAAATTGATTGTAATTAGTTCTGTCTGCTTTTTGTGTAGCTACTTGCAAATAGTCGTTGTTGGTGGTACGAGCGTCACTGGCTTCTCATTGGCTGGACTTTCGGTCCGTATCACTCCCGAACTCGTTACCAACTCGCGAGTCAAACGAGGCACAATTCGTTACAACTCGTAAGTGCCGAGTTGTTACTGCAATTTCCCACCTCGATTCGATTCGATTCGCCTCGGCGGCAACACTAATTCAGCAGCCTCTTTTCTTCCGGCATTTACGGAAGACGTTGGTCTAGCTAGAAAGTCCGCACAGGCCCAGTGGCTCTTGCGTTGGTTCCCAGCTTGTAATGTTCCGTGACTATGTGCTGTAGCATTGCAGAAATCATCGACACATTGTTGCGACTCGACGTGTTCCTTGTTATGTCCTCGTGGATAACCAGCATCCAATGTACAATGATTTTACTCCCATTCCA